TAGTCTACCTCAAGGTGCTGAATGATGATAGTCTACCCCAAGGTGTTGAATGGTGATATTCTACCTCAAGGTGCTGAATGGTGAAAGTCTACCTTAAGGTGTTGAATGGTGATAGTCTACCTCAAGGTGCTGAATGATGATAGTCTACCTCAAGGTACTGAATGATGATAGTCTACCTCAAGGTACTGAATGGTGATAGTCTACCCCAAAGTGCTGGATGGTGACACTATACCTTAAGGTACTGAATGGTGATAGTCTACCTCATGGTGATGAATGATGATAGTCTACCTCAAGGTGCTGAATGAGGATAGTCTACCCTAAGTTGCTGACTGGTGATAGCCTACCTGAAGGTGCTGAATGGCGATAGTCTACCTTAATGGGCTGAATGGTGATAGTCTACTTCAAGGTGGTGAATGACGATAGTCTACCCCAAGGTGCTGAATGGTGGTAGTCTACCTCAAGGTGCTAAATGATGATAGTCTACCTCAAGGTACTGAATGGTGATAGTCTACCCCAAGGTGCTGAATGGTGATAGTCTACCTCAAGGTGCTGAATGATGATAGTCTACCTCAAGCTGCTGAATGATGATAGTCTACCCCAAGGTGCTGAATGGTGATAGTCTACCTCAAGGTGCTGAATGATGATAGTCTACCTCAAGGTGCTGAATGGTGATAGTCTACCTCAAGGTGTTGAATGATGATATTCTACCTCAAGGTGCTGAATGAAGATAGTCTACCCCAAGGTGCTGAATGGTGATAGTCTACCTCAAGTTGCTGAATGATGATAATCTACTTCAAGGTGATGAATGATGATAGTCTACCTCAAGGTACTGAATGATGATAGTCTACCTGAAGGTACTGAATGGTGATAGTCTAACTTACGGTGCTGAATGGTGATAGTCTACCCCAAGTTGCTGTAAGGTGATAGTCTACCTCAAGGTGCTGAATGATGATAGTCTACCCCAAGTTGCTGAATGATGATAGTCTACCTCAAGTTGCTGAATGGTGATAGTCTACCTCAAAGTGCTGAATGGTGATAGTCTACCTAAGGGTGCTAAATGGTGATTGTCTACCTAAAGGTGCTGAATGATATTAGTCTACCTCAAGGTACTGAATGATGGTAGCCTACCTCAAGGTGCTGAATGATGATAGTCTACCTCAAGGTGCTGAATGGTGATAGTCTACCTCAAGGTGTTGAATGATGATATTCTACCTCAAGGTGCTGAATGAAGATATTCTACCCCAAGGTGCTGAATGGTGATAGTCTACCTCAAGGTGCTGAATGATGATAGTCTACTTCAAGGTGCTGAATGATGATAGTCTACCTCAAGGTACTGAATGATGATAGTCTACCTGAAGGTACTGAATGGTGATAGTCTAACTTATGGTGCTGAATGGTGATAGTCTACCCCAAGTTGCTGTATGGTGATAGTCTACCTCAAGGTGCTGAATGATGATAGTCTATCCCAAGTTGCTGAATGATGATAGTCTACCTCAAGGTGCTGAATGGTGATAGTCTACCTCAAGGTGCTGAATGGTGATAGTCTACCTTAAGGTGCTAAATGGTGATAGTCTACCTCAAGGTGCTGAATGATGATAGTCTACCTCAAGGTACTGAATGATGGTAGTCTACCTCAAGGTACTGAATGATGGTAGTCTACCCCAAGGTGCTGAATGGTGATAGTCTACCTTAAGGTGCTGAATGGTGA